TGTGGCTGGGTGTGCTGCAGGGGACACCAGACAGGGGTCAGGGGGGGTTTTGGGACACCCCCAGCTGCTTTGTAGGACCCCTCCAGCCCCACCCCAACATCCCACTCCTGCTACCTGAAGTTCAGCTGGCCCATGGCTGAGGGGCTGAAGAAGACAGCAGGGTCCAAAGAAGAGGCCATGGGCCTGAAGTGCATGCCCAGGGGCTGGGGTGGGCTGCCCACGGTGGGGGAGCCAGGCTGGAAAGGGCTTGGGGGTGCAAACCCTGCTGTCTGAGAAGGCGAGAGGGGATAAAGGGTGTGAGCCTTCCCCTCTGAGCATTCCAGAGGGGTCAGACAGCTCTGTGCTGGCTTCTGGCTCCCATCCTTCTGGCAAAGTGCTACAGTGCCACTGTCCCCATCCCCTGCCACTCCAGGGCTACCTCAGTGGGGCCGTGGCAGTGGCTCAGAGCCCACCACATTACCTGGCTGGGACTGAAGAGTGCAGGGGGTCTGCAGGCAGGCGGGAAGGGCTGAGGAGAGCACGGGGAGCGAGGAGACATCATGGGTGCCTGGTACAGAGCAGGAGACAGGAGGTGTCAGACAAGCCTGTCCTCGAGGCTGCACCTCCAAGGAGGGGAGGCAGAGAAAGAAGGGGTGCAAGAGCACCCCCAAACCTGTTACCTGCTGGAGAAAGCACTGGGGGAAAGGCTTGGGGGACATCAGTCTTAAGTCAGGGCCTCTGAGCCGGGAAGAGCCCCCGTAGCTCCTCTGCACAGGAGAGCCAAGGAAGTCGAGAGCCATGTTGGGAGATGGTGGAGGTCTCTCCAGCACCTGGAGGATGGCTTTATCCTGTGGGGTGGAGGCAGCAGCAGGTGGGAACAAGGCACAGCTGGGAACAGTTTAGCTCCCTCAGCAATAGTTAGCTCACTAAAACCTGTGGTCACTGCTCAACCAAGAGCAGCTGTGCTCCAATCCTCGTAGTGTGGAGCAGCTGGAGACCCATGGGAACACCCAGCATGGGGGTCCCAGTCCCCCCAATCTCAACAACTTTACCTTCAAACCCAGGCTCTGCTTTGGGTGGGCACTCACAGCCTTGCACCCAAGAATATCTGTGCACCTCCAGAGCCATTTGGAGATGCCCCAGGTGTCCCAAATTCCTGTGAGTCCCTTGTTCCAGAGTATTGGGGAGCCCTTAGCTCCAGCATGTACCCACCTCCAGCATGAGGTGGCGAGGGACACTGCCAGGGCAGGAGCCCCACGTGGGATCCATCGCCAGCTGGAAAACAGGGAGAGGCTGGCATGAGCCAAGAGAACAGGAGGAGAGAGCAGGGGACACCACAGGAGCCACCCTGCCTCATCACCAGATGGGTGGGGACATTTTTACCGTGTCCTCCTTGTCAAACTCTTCCCAGCAAGTCCCAATCCCGCTGTCCAGCACCGCTGAGTCCTGGCTCTGCAAGGAAAGGGGAGTTAAAGGCCTGCCTGTCTGCCCCAGTGCCCTCTGTGGGGCAGGACCCACAGGTGTGGGGGTGGAGGAGGAGCAGCAGGACCCCTGTCTGCTCACACATCACCTCCAGCGTGGGTTTGCTCCGCACAGCTCTCATCACTGCTGGGTCTCCCAGTTCACTGGGCTCCTCAAAGCACTCCTGATCTTCCTCGTGTTCCTCAGTGCCCAGCTCCTCTGCCTCTTCCTCCAGCTGAGAGTTAACCTGCTCCATCTCTGCCTCCATCCCACCTTCCTCCTCGGCCAGCTCCTCCAGCTGCTCAGCTGCTCTTCCAGTTGCCTCTACCAGTGCTTTGGCCACCTCAGGGCTTATCTCCGGTACCACCAGGAGTTTTGGGACATCCTCCTCTGTGGAGTCTCGGTCTTAGAGGGGGAAGCAGCACACAGCAGGGCGGGTGAACGCTTTGGCAGTGCCCACCAGGGTGCCTGCTCCCCCCGAGTGCTGGCAGGTCTCTCCAACACCAGGACTCCCCCGAGGTCTTACCTAACCCAAAAGTCATCTCGTTGTACAGGTCGAGCTCCTCATCCTCCTCAGCCATCTCTTCCAGCAGAACTGCATCTTCCACCAGCAGAAAATCCTCGATAATCTGGATTTGGAAGCAGCAGGTTCCTCTCTAAGGGAGAGGTAACCCTAGCATACTCCTAAAGTGGGGAGGGGCACCCAACCTCCCCCTCATTCTACTGCTGGTGCCAGGCTCACAGCTGGAAAAGGGAAAAGCAGGAGCAACCCCCAGGGCTCACAGCTGGAAAAGAGAAAAGCAGGAGCAACCCCCAGGGCTCACAGCTGGAAAAGGGAAAAGCAGGAGCAACCCCCAGGGCTCACAGCTGGAAAAGGGAAAAGCAGGAGCCAGCGGCACTGCCGGCGAGGACAGGAGGCGCAGCTCAGCCCACGGCTGTGCCGGCACCAGCGAACGCCGGCACGGAGCGGCACCAGCGCGGCTGGGCTGGGACACCTTTAGGCTTCAGAGTGAACACCCGCTACGAGAGCATCCCACCAGCATCTCCAGGGCAGAGCCTGCTCCGAGACCGACCGCGCCGGGGAGCGCCAGCCCCGGAGAACGAGCACCGCACAGGGAGCGGGACGCCGGGAGGCGGCAGCGGGCAGGGGGTAGCGGAGCAGGGCAGGCAGCCACTCACAACGCGCTCGCCGCCCTCCGCCATCCCGCGGTGGTGCTGCCGCCTCCTCCTCCCGCTCACCCACCCTCCGTCCGTCCCGGGTCCCCGTACGGGGGCACGGTGCCCCCGCCGCCCCTTTTATGGGCCGCCCCCACCGCCCCCGGCATGCGCTTGCCGTACAACATGGCGGCCCCCAGCGGGGCCCCGCGCATGCGCACTGCTCTGCACCAGGAGCCTGCCGTACAACATGGCGGCCCCCGGCGGAGCCTCGCGCCTGCGCACTGCGCTGCACCGGAGCCCGGAGGCAGCGGGGATGGAGGGGTTCGGTGACCGCACCTGCGGCTCTCGGGGCGCAGAACGGCCCAGCCCGACTTTCCCCGCTGCTCCCACCGTGCTGTTCTCAGAGCTGATATCCCTCTGAGGAGTTATGGAAATCTAGTGGGATGTGCTCTGAGTATTCTGGCAGGTAACGCCGAGCACAGGTGTCAACACTAACACTATAAATGTCTGCATCTCACAAAGCATAGCGGGTTGCCCTTATTCCCCTGGATTATCCCCCTGAATACCCGGAGCACCTTGCTCATGTCACCCACTCCCAAATAATTCTGCTAATAAAAGCAGAAATGTCCCCAAAGTGGAAGATTTGGCTACTGCAACCAAATCACTGTGGCTTTTAATAAACATCACGTGGAAGAGTTGTGCTCCTCTTTCCTGGGAAATTCCAACAGGTGGTGTGGGTTAGAGTCATTGCCAGGGATTCACATCCCAAAGGGCCCATGGAAAGCATCCATCCTCTCCCCGAGGCGAGGGAGTGTTCACGTGGGCAGAGCCAGATTCACCCCTGGGACAGCTGGACCGGGCTGGTGACTCCTGCTGTGGTGACCCTAACAACAACTCTGCCACTAACGGAGCACTCAGGGATTATTTATGTTGGAGCCTGAGATCCCTGATAACGCTCTGGCCACAGCTGCATCTGTTTATCCCACCCTGAGGAAAACATTGAGTGTTTTCAGCTGGCACTGCTCACTGAGCAGCCAGCAAACCTGGCAGGAGCTGGGCCAGTGGGAACTGATAACAAGTGTTTTCAAGATTTTCCTTTGCTTGGCCTCTCCTGATTTACCTGCTGCCTTTGGGGTGTTCACCATACATGCTTTATTAATTTAATTTGTGCTTTAATGAGATACATTAAGAAGTCCTAAGGGGACTTAGTGTTTTGGTACGTAGACCATGCTACTGTTTTCTTCCCACTAGCAGTGACTTGACTTTCTTTTCCCTTTATTTTCCTTCTAAGCAGCACTACTGGAACACTCAGTGGCATTCCTAGCCTTGCTGGGCTTTGGTGCTCACAGTTCTTCTGGAAGAGGCACCAGAAAACCTGGTTCTTTGGTGTTAGAATTCTCGCGCTTTATGTCAGGGAATTCTCATGTTTTCTGTGTGCTGTGGTCCAACAACAGCCAATTTCCCACCCTGCAGCTGCTGGAATGAGACAAACCACACAGGTTTTGAAAGAGGTTAAAAAAGGATGGTGGATGGCTTGCTCACCACAGGCTGTTGGTGTAATACCAGCCCTGGATGCAAAATCTGCAAGAGGTGACTTTTACCCCCATTTAGGTTGGAAAATCTCTCAGTGACCATCAAGTCAAATCATTCCTCCAGCACTGCCGAGGCCGCCACTAACCCATGTCCCCAAGTGCTTTTAAATCCCTCAATGGATGAGGACTCCACCACTGCCCTGGCAGCCTGTGGCAAGGCTAGACAGCCCTTTCAGAGAGTAACTTTTCTCTAAGATCCAATCTAAACCTTTCCGGGTGCTACTTGAAGCTGTTTCCTCTTGTCCTCTCCTTTGTTCCCAGGGGGTGGAGCACAACCCCACCTGGCTGCCCTCTTCTGTCAGGGAGTTGTAGGAAGAAGGTCCCCCGAGCCTCCTTTTCTCCAGGCTGAGCCCTCCCAGCTCCCTCAGCTGCTCCTGGTGCTCCAGCCCCTTCCCGTCTCTGTGCCTTTTCCTGGACACGCTCCAGCCCCTCGATGTCCTTCTTGGAGTGAAAGACGCAGAACTGACCACAGGGTTTGGGGTGTGGCCTCAGCAGCGCCCAGCACAGGGGACGGGCGCTGCCTGGGCCTGTGGCCACACCGGGGCTGGTCCCGAGCAGGTGCCATTGCCCACCCGGGCTCACGTCCAGCCGCTGTTGCCCGCTGACGCCCCGGGGTCTCTGTCCGGGTTTTCCCCCCACTCAGCACGGAACTGAAAGCGAAAGCGCTGCCCCGCTGGCTCGCACAACCCCGGAGCTCCCGTTCTACCTGGAAACTGATGACGTAGAGGCCGCTCCGCACCACGATTGGCCGTGTGTTCCGGAGGCTATAAAAGGCGGAGTGCGGGCAGGGGTGGGACGTTCCGGGAAACGGCGGGGCAGAGAGGAGCGGCTATGGCGCGGAGGGCCCTGGCGCTCGGGGTGCTCGCTCTGCTGGCGCTGCTCGGCCTGGGGGCGGCCGCTGGTGAGTGCCTGGGGCGGCGCGAAGGGTCCCGACGGGGGTGAGGGGCTGTGGGGTCCCGGGTGGGTGGCGAGTGTTGGCATCGCGGCGGTGCCCGCGGCAGCCCCGCTTCTCACGCGCCCTCGCCCCTCTCTCCAGAGGCGCCGAAGGTGGAAGTGTACGCCCGTTCCCGCGCCGAGGTGGGAAAGGAGAACACTCTCCACTGCTTTGTCACTGGCTTTCACCCACCCAAGATTGACATCGAACTCCTGAAGAACGGCGTGCCCATGCCCGGCGTCACGTACGGGGACTTGTCCTTCAACGACAAGTGGCAGTTCCAGCGCCTGGTCTATGCGCCCTTTATCCCCACAAGGGAGGACATCTTCTCTTGTAGGGTGGCGCATTCCACCATGCCGGAGTCACGCAATTACATCTGGGGTATGCTGTGCCTCCCCTCCTGCGTGCAGGAGCTCCTTGCTTTATATCCGTGCTGTCTCTGTTCCTTTTCCTGGGAAGCAGGGTGAAATGGAGCGGGGTTTGAAGGTCTTGTGTTAGAGGGAGAAAGCTAACTTGCTTTTAGCTGAAAAGGCTGTTACACGTGCCTGTGAAGGATTCGGTAAGGACGCACGCTGGTGTTAATCCACAGGGATTTGGTGATGCCGTGTCACCCGATCTCTGCCGTGGTGAATTTAACTAGAAGGCGATGGGTCATGCAGGGAATTTTTGCTTTATGTTGTGTGTGTATAAAGAAGGGATGATGGTGTAAACCTAGCCTCAGCTACAGCTGAAGGCAGCTCTGGTCGCCGTAAAGGGGCTGTTTCCGTGGGGAACCTTGTGGGCACAGGGGATAGGGGGTGCCATTAGCCCCAGGTTTAACGCTCTGCACTTCTTTCCTGCAGAGCCAGACTTCTGAGCTGCGTCTGGGATAATCCATGGTGAGTTATTCCCGTGCTGTGCTGGTAAGGGAAACACAGACCCATTTCTGTAGGGAGGGGGGGGTTTGAAAAGCTGAGAAACAAAGCACCACACCCTAAAAGTAGATAATATTTGGGACACAAAGAAACCTGTTCCCACACCCTTTCTGCCCGCTATTTTGGTCTAGTTTTGGCCATCCCGTGCCTACAAGAGTCCTTTCCTCCTAAAAAAGGAGAGCTTTGAAGAAAATCTTCCCTGCATGTTGTTGCTGCCTCAGCTAGAAGATACCGCAGAGAGTTGTCGCAGTCCCTAAAGCTCCCTCAGGCCCCGAGTGCTGTTTCCTGTCGGGGGAGGAGCAGGAAGTCGCTGTACCCAAAGTCCCTGTGCCGCAGGCTGGTTAACCAGCACCCTGTGGGATTTATGAGGCACAAACCAGAAACATTTTGGGGTTTATTCACCAGTGTCTCTTTGTGAGGGCTTTAAGTTCTTCAGACTGCGTGTAACTGATCTGGATGTAGCAATGGGGAAATTCCAGTTTAACACTTGATAGGGAAAAGAAACTGAATATGGGGCTCAGCTGACGTAACCGTGGCTGAAACAGCCAAATTATGTGTCCAGTTAGAGGCTGGATAATGATTAACTGTTCTGGGACAAGCCTTGACAGGACCCTTATATGAAATGCCCCAGTTCCTGCAGAGCTATAAAAGTTGTATACAGTCACTGCTGTGGTCTGTCACTCACCTTTGGGCAGTGGGGTGTGAGCCTGGCCCCAAGGCACGGTCTGGATGTGCTGGGCTCACACAGTACCATGGCTTGGGTTGGTGGGACACTGGTGAGGGATGCCACGTCTGGCTGGAGGGGGATGTGGGTGCTTCACTGTGCTCTGGGGATGAGGATTTACTGAGCTGGCCTGGAAGGAGTTGAGAGCAGGACAAACTCCTCCCTGGGGTGGAGAACAAGGATCCTCTTGACTTGTTGGACTCTGAACTCCACCAAGGAGGGGACAGAAAAGGAGTTTCTGCAGGATTTTTACCTGAACCTCACTGGAAGGTGGTTCTGCAGGGAACCAGACTGCTCTGAGGAAACTGGTTTTCAGTCCTAAAATAATTGCAGTTGAAGGTGTCACTAGAGTGACTGACGTCAATCTACTCTCTCCATGCAGGTTTGAGACATTCTTCGTGCAAGTCAGAGTCTTCTCGAGCTTCTGTCCATTCTTCATCATAGCCACAAGATTGATGAACTTCTTTCCAAAATTTGCTAATAATATCACTTAGCCACAGCATCAAGGGAGCTCTGCAGGCTTTTTGAGCTAAAAATTTTACTGCTTAAGAAAATGATATCTTTTCATTGCTCAAAATTTTGGAGGATTTTTATCCTTTAATAAACTGCTAGCCCATTAAATGTTTCTTCAGAGTCATTTGACAAGCTGATATCACAGTCTCTGATGGCCTCTGGGTTGTGGGTGGATACGTAGCCTTGGTGGCATGATGGGCAGTTGTGCTTTTTTTATCCCCCTGAGAAGATGAAAGATCACTTTTCCATCAATAAAAGAGAATTAAATTTTTTAATTTTTCTTTTGCTGGTGTGGTATCTGCCTGGCCTGAGGCTCCTGTGTGGGTCTGAAGGGAAGGCACAAGGGATGAAGAACCTTGGGGCCATAGGGTGGGACACAGAAGGAGGGATGGGGAGAACTCTGGCAGATGCGTTTTGGAATGTGTGGTGTAAAGCTGAGCCTGGGGGAAGCAGAGGTGTGTGTTGGTGAATTTCAGTTCTGGTTTTCTCTGTGCTTCAGCCCATGGAGAAGTTAAGGCCGGTCCTCTGTTACACTGTGGGGGATTCACACTACCCAAAAGCAATGCTGCTGCCATCAGCTCACTTTTATTTTATGAAGAAATCAGAATGATGGCTTGAGGAATATTGTATCCAAATGGATTTAACCAGGAGCACTTGTATGGGATCAAGGTTTCAGCTTCTCTCCCAGAGACCCCAGTGGAGCAGCACTGGGTGCTGTGTGAGCCCAAGGAGCTGTGGAACATGTCCTGGCCTCCTCTCCTGGATCATGAAGGGCCACCAAAGTGCTTTCCATCACCCCAGCTCCACCTTTCATATCCTCAAGAGCACCAGAATAATTGTTGGGTAACCACTCCACCAAGAGAGCTTCACTATAATTAGGAAAGGAGTGGAGACAACTGCAGAAACTGAAGATTCAGTGGAGGCAATGTGAAGTGACCCTGTCTCCAAAGGACACATTATCATCTTTACACATTGGAGACGTCTGCCCTGGTTGCATCTGTGGGATTTTTCTGTTCCTATTTTGATGGTTTACTCAAAAATCCCCTGTCTGTGGGAGAACAACACGTGACCACGCCAGAGGCTGATTTCCTTTAACTGTGGATTTCAGGACCATGTCCAGAAATACCTCCTCAGTTTTATCCAGCATCCTTGGGGTTCTGAAGTACTCGGGATCTTGTTGAGCTGCTGCTGCTGGCAACAGCTCCCCGAGGATGGGTTATCCTGAGGGATATCTTGGGAAGCTTCGAGCATGAAACAAGCCTCATTTGTGCTTTATGAAACAAAAGCAATTTTTCTGCAAGCAGTTTCTGGAATCAGCAAAATGCAAGATTTTTTTCTGAGAAAAGCTTCTAGGAGAAAAAGGATCGAGTCCGACTCCTGTCTCTGCACGGGACACCGCAAAACCCCGCCCTGTGCCTCGGAGCGTTGTCCAAGTGCCCTTTGCGCTCTGTCAGGCTTGGGGCTGCCCTGGGGAGCTGTTCCAGTGCCCGCCCATGTTGTGGGGGAAGAACCTTTCCCTAATATCCAGCTTAAAGCTCCCTGGCGCAGCTTCAGCCGTTCTCCCTCTCGCCGGGGTTTTTCCCCCACCGCTTCCCCTCACGGCCGTTCCCGCCCTCATTTCCCCTCAGAGCGGTTCCCGCCTCCTTTCCAGCCCCTCACGGCCGTTCCCTCCTTCGTTTCCCCTCACGGCCATTCCCGCCTCCTTTCCAGCCCCTCACGGCCGTTCCTGCCCTCATTTCCCCTCAGGGTCGTTCCCCTCAGGGCGGTTCCTGTCTTCGCCCACCCCCTCACGGCCGTTCCCGCCCTCGTCTCCTCTCAGGGCGGTTCCTGCCTCCTTTCCAGCCCTTCACGGCCGTTCCCCTCAGGGCGGTTCCTGCCTCCTTCCAGCCCTTCAGGGCGGTTCCCTCTCTCGTCTCCTCCCCGGGCGGCTCCCGCCGCGATGTTCCGCGGACACCGCGCTTGGTTCTCGCAGAGCGTCAGCCCGGGCCCGCGGGGGCTCTGGGGTGAGGGAGCCACACCACGGTCAAGTCCAGGGGAGCCCTGGGGCACGGAGCGGGCAGGAATCCGCGGGGGAATTGGCAGGGGCACGGCCGTGTCACCGCTCAGAGGGAATTAGGAGGGGAGCACAACCCATCCATCATTCCTCAGCAGGGCACAGCAGTGGGGACACAGCCCTTTGTGGGACTGAGACCCACACAACAGGACAGAGCACGAGTTTGGCCAATCCACGGTGTGCCCACACTGAGGAAAAGCCCTGCCCAGCCCTCAGGGGAGCAATGGGAGTCCCACAGGCATGGGGAGCTGTCACAGCTTCCACTTCAGGGTGGTCCCACAAGCAGCTGTCCCCTCCCCGGGTCACCCCAAGGTGGGAACCCGGGGATGGCCACACTCACCTGGCTCTCTGTCCCCTGCAGCCGATGGCGGCGGGACCATTGCCCACTGGCTGGATGCTGATTACCTGTTCAGCAGCGATGCTGCCCACCCCGACACCCGCAGGTGGGCAAAGGAGGCTTTAATGTATTTAGTGAAAAGTATTTCATGGATATTGACATCCTGTAAAATTCAAGGGTGTGTTTTTAAAGTCATGGCGTGGATCTGCCATTGGCCAGTGGGCTCAGGAAAACACACACCCACACTAAGCTATAGATAGACAGAGAAAAACCATCCATGGGTTGAGAATGGCTTAACAGTGATATAAATTTAATTAATTGTACTGGTTTCTTGCTGGTCTGCTGGAAAATCAGCATCTAAAACAGAGGTGATACAGTTCCCAAGGAAGGAATCTGGTTCCAAAAAATCCAGTGTGAATTAATGCTAAAAGGAAGCACTGGGTTAAAAATGGACAGAAAAGGACAGAAATGCTTAAAAAAAATTAGAGAGCTATGGAACATTTATACATATTTAAGGAAAGGCTTAAGGATCTTTCTCACTTCCTCAATATCAGCGAGTATTTGTATTTATTCATTATTTAGTCATGTAAACATATGTATGGGGAAGGAAGCTGTGATATTTCCCTTAGGCTTTGCTAGGCTGAATTAAATAGTTTCTCTAACAGACCAGTGCTTAAAACTGGCTTTGGATTTTGGAATCTTTCAGCCACCTGCTCCAGCTAAGCGAGGGGAATTCCAGTAAACACAGAATAACATCTTTTATTCTGCAACAATGTGCTGCCAGACCAGCCTGCTCCCCCAGGGGAATTCTGGATAATTTATATATATATATATACATGTACACACATATATATACACATATATACACATATATATATATAAATTATATATATAGTATATATACTATACTAGAGAGTATACTGTACTATATTATATATACTATATATAAGCATTTAGATACTATTACTAATTATAAAATTATATATATTCTATATACATTAAAATATATAATTTTATAATATATGAATGTAATAAATATATAAAAATAGAAATAAATAGATAAATATAATTATATAATCATCCTTAAACCCAGCAAACAAGATTTAATTCCTCTCTAAGGAGGACAGTGAGGGCTGGAGCACCCTCCACCTCCACTTCCTTGCTCAGCTGTGTGAGCAGGAACCAGTATGGTGAAGGATAATTGTAGAAAAATCCTGTCTTTGCCCTCCCCGAAGCAGTTTCACCTCAAGAGCAGAGTGGGACTGTCTAATCCCTAAAAATACGTTTACCCTTGTCCTTCCTCTAGGCTGCCCCTGGGAGGTGCTGGTAGCCAGGACGTGACTGGTAGAAAATCACAGAAAATTAGGGGCTTTTGGCAAAAAAATTCAGAGCAAGTTTCATGATAACACCCCTCTAAACGTTTTGGTTTTGGTTTGCTTCCAAGTTCTCTTTGGAAAGCAGCTCTGTTTCTCTCTTGCAGCATACACGAGAGCCTCAGTTACCTGGAGGGCAAAGCCACGGTCTTTCACTCCAGTTACCTCTCAGTGTGTGCGAGCACCCGAGCTACGGAGAGGCCCTCGGTGGTTCTGGGCCACTTCATCCTGCCCCCTGCCTGCCTGCACGAAGGTCAGGCACAAACAATCATCTGGGGATGTTTTCCCGTGGAAATCCCCCCTGAGTGCAGCCTTGGTGCAAACTAGAGCTGACAGTTACTTGTCTGCAGGGAGGGACTTTTCCTTCTGCTTGGGAGTGGCTCTTCCTCCCGGAGGACAGAGTATGATCCATCTGTTACCACAGAGTGGCTTGACCTTGAACATTCCCAGGATGGGGCAGCCACAGCTGCTCTGGGAAACCTGTGCCAGGCCCTCACCACCCTCACAGGGAAGAATTTCTTCCCAGTATCCCATCTAACCCTGCCCTCTGTCAGTTTGAAGCCTTCCCTCTTTGTCCTGGCACTTCAGGCCCTTGTCCCCAGGTCCCTCTCCAGCTCTCCTGGAGCCGTTTAGGCACTGGAAGGGGCCCTGAGGGGTCTCTGGAGCCTTCTCTTGTCCAGGTGAGCACCCCCAGCTCTCTCAGCTGTCCAGAGCAAAGGGGCTCCAGTCCTTGGAGCATCTCCGTGGCCTCCTCTGGACTTGCTCCAACAGCTCCGTGTCCTGCTGCTGTTGGGGACCCCAGAGCTGGAGGAGCACTGCTGCTCCTGAGAGAGGCAGAATCCTCCCCTCACCAGCTGCCCACACTGTGGGAGCAGCCCAGGACACATGGAAGCTCACATCCATGAGCTTCTCATCCACCAACACCCCCAAGTTCTCCTCAGGGCTGCTTTCAATCCACTCTTCCCCACCCTGAATTTGTGCTTGGGATTGCCCTGGCCCAGGGGCAACACCTTGCCTTTGGGCTTGTCCCCAGAGGCACCTGGAGGGCATCACACTGGCAGCAACTTGCCAGAGTTGTGATTTTTGGTGCTCTCACAGTCACTAGTTTTGCTGTTGTTGTCAGAAATCAGAAGGAAGATTGGCCGGTTTATTTGGGAGAAGGCAGATGCCCTTGAAGAACAGGTAAGATGAAAAATTTGTACTTCACATCTATGTGCTGAGCAGGGAGCTTGCACAGGCATTCAGGGGGGAAAGAAGAGCAAATATAATTTATGGGAAAAGGGGCAGGCAACTCAGGAAGCATTTAAAGAAGTCTTTAGGTCATGCAGAAAGGAGAAAATTAGAGAGGTGAAAGCTCAGTTAGAACTCAATCTGGCCACCTCTATAAAGGATAATATTTTTATAAATTATATATATAAAAGGAGGAACAAATGTGACAGTGGTTCACAGGGGTCTCAGGTTGAGGGAAGACACAAGGATCTGACTCCATGTTTCAGAAGGCTTGATTTATTATTTTATGATATATATTACATTAAAACTATACTAAAAGAATAGAAGAAAGGATTTAATCAGAAGGCTAGCTAAGAATAGAAAAAGAAGGAATGATAACAAAAGCTTCTGTCGCAGACAGAGAGCCCAAGCCAGCTGACTGTGATTGGCCATTAATTAGAAACAACCACATGAGACCAATCCCAGATGCACCTGTTGCATTCCACAGCAGCAGATAATCAATGTTTACATTTTGTTCCTGAGGCCTTGCAGCTTCTCAGGAGGAAAAATCCTAAGGAAAGAATTTTCCATAAAAGATGTCTACAACAACCAAGGAAACCCCTCATTCTTTATTGCAGTGTCCATCACCAAGGACTAGGGAAAGGCTGAGATAATTACCACCTTCTCCGCCTCAGTCTTCAGCACTAAGACTGCTTGGATCAGGACAAATGGCCCCCTGAGGTGGTAGACAGGCATGGGGAGCAGAATGGACCCCAAAAAACCCAGGAGGAGGCAGTCACTGCCCTGCTGTGCCACTTGGATGCTCACAAGTCCATGGGCCTGGAGGGGATCCATCCCAGGGTGATGAGGGAGCTGGAGGAAGAGCTTGCCAAGCTGCTGTCCATCATTTATCACTAGTGCTGGCTCACTGGGGAGGTCCCTGATGACAAGGGACAATTGGACACCCCTCCACAAGAAGGGCTGGAAGGAGGGTCTAGGGAATTAAGAGATCTTTCAGGGTGACCAGGGGCAGAGAAGGTTAAGGAGCAGATTACCTCGAGTGCCATCACCTGGCACATGCAGGAAAACCAAGGGAACAGACCCAGCCAGCATGGCTTTAGGAGGGGCAGGTCCTACCTGACCAACCTGATTTTCTTTCATGCTGAGGGGATCCACCTGGATGAAGGAAAGAGTGGATGTGCCTACATGGATGTCAGCAAAGCCTTTGACACCATCTCCCACAGCATCTCCTGGAGAACTGCAGCCCACAGCTCGGACAGTTGGTGTCTGGCCACCAGTGCTGTCCCCCAGGGACCAGTGTAGGGCCCAGGCCTATTCAACACCTTTCCTGAAGATCTGAATGAGGGGACTGAGCCCACCCCTGGCAGACAGACAGGTGACACCAAGCTGAGTGGGAGTTTGGTTCTACTGGAGGCTGGGAAGGCTCTGCTGAGGGACCTGGACAGGATGGATCAATGGACCAGGGTCACCTGTAGGAGGGTCAACAAGGCCAAGGTCTGGGTCCTGCACTTTGGCCACAATAACCCTGCAGAGCTACAGACTGAGAGTGGCTGGAAAGCAGCCCAGCAAGAAAGGTCCTGGGATTGCTGATCAGCAGCAGCTGAATGTGAGCCCAGGTGGCCAAGAATGCCAGTGGCAGCTGGCCTGTGTGGCCAGCAGGAGCAGGAAGTGAATTCTCCCCTGTACTGGGCACTGCTGAGACTCCAACTTGAGTACTGTGTCCAGTTCTGGACCCCTCAATTCAATTCAAGGACATTTTAGTGCTGAAAAGGAACTGAGCCAGGGAAGGGTCTGGAGCACCAGGAGGGAGCTGGGGAGGGCTCAGCCTGGAGAAAAGGAGGCTCAGATGGGACCTTCTGACTGTGCACAACTCCCTGACAGGAGGGGGCAGCTGGGTGGGGGCCAGGCACTGCTCCCAGGGACCAAGGGACAGGATGAGAGGACGCTGCCTTAAGCTGCACCAGGAGAGGTTGATGTTGCACATCAGAATTTTTCCCAGAAGGGGTGATCAGGCACTGGAATGGGCTGTCCAGGATGACTGGATGTGGCACTCAGTGCTCTGGTCTGCTTGGGAAGCTGCTGATCAGTCACTGGTTGGACCCGATGGTCTTTTCCAACCTCACTGATTCTGATTCCTTGTCCTTGCTGTGCTGTGTGTCCCCCCCTGCATGACACCCTGAGGGGACAGCACTGGAAGGACTGTCCCTTGCCCAGACATATCCAGTGTACTGTTCTAAGGATTCCAACTGCCACAGGCTGAGCTCAGCCCTTTGGGCTGGTGTTTTCCTTCCCCATATCACTGCCCACTCTCCTCTCAAAGCAACTTCCCAGCACTTTTGAAGCAGGAATGCCCTTAAATTTAAAATTGAACTCTGAATTATGCTTGAAATCATAAGCCCTAAAAATTCATGCACTGGGAGTGTGTCCTAGGTGCTCTGGTGACCCAGGGACAATTTTAACTTCTTCTTGTGCTGATATTCCTAGCCCAAGGAAAATCCTACAGAGGAACCAGAAGCAGCAAGAAATGGCTGTGAGGAAGAATCAGAGGAGGAAGTGCTAGACCTGGCTGAGAGGTATTTTCCTAGCTTGGGTGGTGGGATTTGGATACACCTCCAATTCCATGCAATCCTAACACATAGGAACTAACACAGAGATTTTTTTTTCCCCTCCTGATACAGCACTGAAGAAACAGAATCTGAAGCACCCACCCAGGGAGAATTTCCATGCCGTGCCCTCCAGGAATACCCAATAAATAACATGGTGACAGGTAAATAAATGCACCTGGAGAGGGCTGCAGATGGAGCAGGACTCAGTGAGCCCATCCTCCCTCCCCAGGCTATGCCTCTGCACGGGACATGAAGAAATACGAGGGGGAACTCCACGACTTCATCCCTGGCACCTCGGGCTATGCAGTGTACTGGGTCCAAAGCAAATGCAGCATTTACTGTGAGAAGGCCAAAATGAAGAGGAAATGGTAAGGAACAGGTGGCTGGAGCAGCAAAACCTTCAATGGAAGAGCTGCCAGATTATTTATAAATTATCCCACTGCAGCTCAGAGCATTCAATATGTTACTTACACATTGTACAGTTATAGCAGTTTTTGCTTCTTTAAGTAACAACTTAAGCTTCACAAGAAACAAATACATTTTTCCCCAAAACACAAATATTTTCTCTTTATTATGGGGCTGTGGGGTGTGTGGTGGTTTAAGATGTGTTTTAACTAGTTTAAGCAAGTTTTTCTTGGAGGGACAATCCAAGGAGGGACATCTCCTCACTTTCATTTAACCAAAAAATTTGAAGACTTTTTCCCTTTTGTTTAAGCACTTCAAAATGACCAATAGGGCTGCACAAACAACTTTTATTGTGGTACAGCCTGATCCTTGGGATGTCCACTTGGAGGAACCACAAGAAAACGTAGGACAGGCTCCCAGAAGCTACCATGGTTATTCTCCCACTGCCCCAAAGGCAGGAGAGTGTCTAAAAGAACAGCTTTGCACCTCACAGCCCAAACTGCCAGGAAAGAACCCAAAAAGATGCTGGTACACATGAAGGTGTCGAGTCCTCAAGAACCCACCCTCCCTGATCCCTTGGGTGTCTAAAGACCAGGCAGGCTGAGGTGGTTTCCTCACGTTTATTGGAAAAGCGACACACAGGGACAGACTCAGAGCGCTCCTCGGGGCGTCTTGAAGTTCATTCCCACTGTAGGCTGTGTCACCTGCAGGTTGGACAGGCTGCCAAAATCCTGGAAAACAGCACAGCAACAATGGGATCAGTCACAGCATCCACTGACAGTGGAGGCAGGTTTCTCTGGGGAGGTGTGGGAAGGGGGAAGGGTGCTGTGGCACCACAAAGGGTGGACCAAGGTCTCCTAAGAAGGGGAGACCACCCTGCTGCAGAGATTGACTCCTTGGAGAGGGAATCATCAAAATGGAGGGCAAGGAACACCTCCCACCCTGCTGGAGGCAAAGCCCCCATGCCTCTGCCCTTCCAAAAGCCATGCATGAACTAATCCTCCCACAGGACCCAGGGCAGAGGGACACCCCTGACATCACCCAGTCACTCAGGGCAGCAGGAGCTGTGCCAGGGCTGTGCCAGCAGCTGGGCAGGAACAGTTGTGGCCACTAACCAGGAGCTTCAGCATTTCCTTGGTGTCCGGGTCCACTTCAATGATCTCCTGGTCAAGGGCAGAGACCTGGGGACAGAGGGGAGAGAAAAGGTGCGATTGATAAAGGCCCACAAGAACCCAAATGTCACCACAGCCACTCTGGTCTCATCCCACTGCTGTGGGGAGCAGCTCCAGCAGCAGAGCCACGAGCATCCTCATGGAACACAGCTTTTCTGACTGAACGCTGCAGGAGGCCACCGGCAGTAGAGGGAAAAGCCTGATTTATGACAAATCTTTGGAAAGTGGGACCTGGTTTATGGCAAATCTTTGGAAACTGAGGCCCAACCTGCTCCAGGCCAAGGCTGCTGAGGAGCTGGTGTTGGACCCTCAACTGCACCAGTCCTGGCAGTCACAGTGACACTCACAGCTGCCTTGGGACACAAGGCCACCACAGTGCCAACAAAGACAGTCCCACCTCCAGGACACCTGTGCTCTCCTGCTCTTTAATCCCAGCAAAACTTCCTCCAGCCCTCTCCAGACCCCAAAAACTCTACCTCCACAGGTTTCCTTCCCCAAGAGCTACGCAAGACCAGGATTTTTCTAGGAAACCACAAACAGCACAGGTTTCGTGTGCTGACACTGCACCAACAGCTGCAGCGTGGACATTCCTTCCCTGTAACCCCTCTCTGGCACCTGCACAGAAACCAGCAGCTCTGCCAGGAGCTGACTGGGAAGATCAGGGAAAAGGGCAAGATGTGCTGTGCCTGAAGGTTACAGGATTTAGGAGCAACAGGATCACATTCCTGGAACAAGGGAAGCCCTCCTGGACCACCTCACCCAGGTGACAGGTGAGATCTTGAGCCCGCCCAATTTTATCAAAACTTCCCTCTGGGGATTCCAGCTGCAAGGCAGGTTTTCAGTCATTCTGAAATATCCTCCTGCTTCCCATCAAATTTCTTTTTTCCTAAATTTTAAGTTAGAAAAACCAAACCACAAGAAGCCAGCTGTCCTTCCTGTCCTAGGTGGCAGCTTTGGAGGGATCCACCTCAGCCCCCCTGATCCAAACCCTCCTCAGCTCCTCCTGGCTGGGGGATTGTTTTAAAGAAACTTGGGAGCATTTCTGGAGATACAGCGAGGCAGGATGGAGCGATGGGGAAGCTGGAGCCTCACCTCGGGGACATAGTTGTCCCTCCTCTCCCTCTCCTCCTCCTGCAGTTTGATGGAGATGCCGCGGACAGGGCCCCTCTGGATTCGCTTCATCAGGTGGGTGACATACCTGCGGGGACACGGGGGTGTCCTGGGCTTTCCCAGGGCTCATGGCACCCTTCCCCACACCCAAATCCCGGAACCACAGCAGGATGAGGACCGCTGTTACCCTCTACCCCGGCAATGTCCCACCACTCACCCTGGCATCATCCCATCACCTCCAGAGGATCAAAGTGTCCGACAGTAACAGGGTTTGGGGGAGACACAGACCCCCCCAAACACGGGAAAACTCTCGCTCTGCTCTCCCTGCACTATCAATGACCCGGCCACAGGCGAGACCGTAATCACTTTCGAATGCAGGAACCCCCACGCCGTGCCCGAATCCCCCCAGGCGCTTCCGATGCCCAAACCCCTGGGACACCGCCAGCTACCCGAAGCCCATCCAGAGCCCCGCGGTGCCCGAACCCCCCTGCGACCCTCCGGTGTCCCAAGCCCAGCCGGTACCCCCCACACCCAAAGCCCACCCGGGCCCGCAGTGCTCACCCCGCAATCTTGTTGCGCAGCTTCTTGCTGGGGATGATGGCGATCTCCTCGCACACACGTTTGTTGGTGTGGAAGTCATTCCCGAGGCGTGTGTAATACTTCTCGATGATCACCCGCGCCGCTTTCTTCACCGTCTTCGTCCGGACACGTCCCTACGCGGGGCGGGCGGGAGGGCCGCCGGTCAGGCTCCACCGAGGCCCCTGCCCCAATCCCCCCCTCCCCAGCCATCCCGGGCTCTCACCGCCCCGCATGCCCCTCGCCCCGGTCCCTTGCGGTCCCCACCGCCGCTCCCCGCCGCGGGGGCGCGGGCCCGCCCGAGGATGGCGGCGGATGGCGGGACCCGGACTCACCATGTCGGCGGCAGCCGCGGAAAAAGAGCGGAGAGTGGCGGGAGGCGCCGGAAGCCAGCAGCGCTCAGCGCGCCCCCTGGCGGCTCGGAGGGCTCCGGCAGAGGCGGGAGCGGCGGGTGGGGCCGAGCCCAGGCGGGAGGGGCCGCAGCCTGAGGCGGGAGCGGCGGGTGGGGCCGAGCCCAGGCGGGAGCGGCCTGAGGCGGGCGGGGCCGCGGCCTGAGGCGCTCCCGCAGCGCCCCGCGGCCCGGAACAGGATGGAGCAGCCCGGGAAGGGAATTGCAGAGAGCTGCGGTGCCAGCGGCATCAGCCCCTCCCACAGCCGGCCCCGAGAGAGGACACGGAGCAGCCGCAAACTCGCAGCCCCCAGCCCACAGGAGGAGGAGGGTGAGCACAAGGCTGCTCCAGAGTTACCGCTGTGGGACAGGGAAGGAGCCCGGAGCCTGCACTGGGACATGGGACACACAAAGTGTCCTCTGTGGCAGCCCCAGTCCAACTCGGCCCTCCCCAGCCCCACAGAGAGGAGCTCTGGGTCCCTCTCCCCTCCCAGCCCTGCAAGATTAGCACCTCCCTGCCACAGTGGGAGAGCACACGGCAGCACAGGCCCCTCTATCAGCCTCATTAACTTCTCGTTGCAATTAGGGGAGCTCCGACTGGAGCCTAGGGGCCTGAAGGGACTTCAGGTAAAGGAGATCTAAAAATGCATTGCCCAGCAGATAGAGCTCCCTCCCAGCTGAGTCACCCACCAACAGCATCCACAGTTCATAGCTCCATCCCTCCCTCCCTCCAAACCACATCCATACCTTCCTCCACACCTCCAGGAGTGACACTACAGCCTCCGAGCTGCAGATATCACCCATGAAGCACACAAGGCACAGGAAAATTTTTTTTTTTTTGCTGCAACGTGTTTATTATGTGCCAAAAACTACACCACAGCTTACTCCACACGTCTGTAGGAGAGTGCAGTCTTGCCTGCATATACTACAATGAGGTAGAGACTTCACACACAGCTTCACAAAACCCCACAAAGAGCAGCTGGGATATGCAACAATGCAACATCAGCTCAGCAGTAAAGAAAAAAAAAATAATCATAGTAAAGAGGGAGAAATTATGACACTGGTTCTTTGGCACACAGCTTCCAATAGAGGGGAAAGTAACAAAATAATAATGTGATCAGCATAATTAAGGTCTCAAATCCCAGCAGCAGCATTTCAGTCGACTGCACTGATACTCCAAACATCTCGGGAAGGAAAGGAAAATTACATGTCCCCTCTAAGAGAAAGGGCTCCCAGGAACCTTCATCGTCCACCAAAACGCAGCCCTTTTTTAGCTTGTTACAAAAGAAAAGGTAAGTCCTGTGACTTTGTGTGATTAAAAACCTCTATCAACCCCCCATAAGTGCAACTTAAAAAAGTGCAACAAACTATTTAAAACTATATACAGCAGCTCAGAGATCCTCATCCCGTCCAGTTTCAAATCCAAAAACAAAAAAAAAGCCCGGCCTGTCCCGTTGCAAACCCCTGGATTTACAACGTCCTGCCATCAGCCCCCAGACACAAATTGCAATAATGTTAAAAGCTGCCAGGAAAAGAAAAAAATCTCTCATTTCAAACGACTTAAAAACTGTTTTTAAGAGTGTAAAAAGGAACTCGTAAAAACCCTCGAGCGTAAAATATGAAATATGATTTGGTTTAAATGAAGAGCAAAGTCTCCTTGTTGTTACAGTAAAAAACGCCAGCTGAACACCCAGGTCACACCATCCAGGTGGGGGTAAATG